GACACTACTGTCAATATGTATTATATAAGTTATAAACAGTGTAATGATACCAACTATGTCAGTACTGTATTATATAAGTTATAAACAGTGTAATGATACCGACATCTGTCAATACTGTATTATATAAGTTATAAACAGTGTAATGATACCGACATCTGTCAATACTGTATTATATAAGTTATAAACAGTGTAAAGATACCAACATGTATCAGTACTGTATTATATAAGTTATAAAGAGTGTAAAGATACCAACATGTGTCAGTACTGTATTATATAAGTTATAAACAGTGTAATGATACCAACATATGTCAGCAAGTTGTAACGATACCAACATGTGTCAGTACTGTATTATATAAGTTATGAACACTGTAAAGATACCAACATGTGTCAGTATTGTATTACATAAGTTATTAAATGTGAAGGTACTATCATGAATAAATATTACTTTTATATTGTATTAAATACAAACAGCTTAAAGTATCAGTACTGTATTATATTACTTGTAAACATTGTGTAAGTAAAATGTTGGATATGCATTTTAATATATAATTTAAAAAGAGTCTTATCTTTGATATAACATTTTGTATTGTCAGCCTCAACAGAGCACATATCTGCATTGAAATGATGTTATCCTTTTTTTGACATAAATTAACATTCAGCAGGGTATATGACAGAAAATACCCATAATTATTTAGACTATGTTAAAAAGAAAAGCAAACAACTGCATTTTACCCATCTCTATGCAATTATTTTTTCCTTTATTTCTAGTTCCTTCAATTCCTTTTTACTTTGTGGTAGATTTTATTTAAAATGTTATTGATTCCCATGAAATTTAAATTATTCTGTAGAAATATTTAAAAGCCAACCCACATAGTTTTTTGGCGATTCGTTCCCATTCAGTAATTTTGTTATATTAAACACTGCCCAAAGATCTTTACGTACTGAAACCATCCTCATCCATTATTGACTTTTACTTCCCAAACTGTTGTGGCTGAGACGTGCAGTGAGGCAGGCTAACCTGACATTGCTCAGCCACTAATCTCACATCTTTGTGGTTCCCAAGAATTCTGATCAGCTATTATCTGCATTAACCTGATGTCAAGACAAGGAGTTTTTCACCTTGTTTCTACAATAAGGTCTATTGATATTTGGTACTTATCTTCTTTTTGCCTTTTGATGTTATCTTCATTTCTTTGGATGATTAATTGTGGTGGATTTTTATTCTATCATTTTTATGTGCTTGTGTCTTCTGTGTACTTTCTCAAGTTGTGTGAGAATTGATATCAATATTATTTTACCCATTATTATAGTTCCATTTCTGTCATGATAATTATCTGCTATTTTTATGTTTTAAAGACCAGTGCTAGTGATTTAAAACCTTTTTGTCCAAATTATGTTATACCTGAGATTATAAATGAAATGTGAAAGTCATATTTGTTGCCATCCCAGCTCTAGATTAATTTATGTTTAGCTCTTATCTCTTAAAAAGCTAAGTATCTTCTCTAGTCAGGATATGCAGATTGAAAGCTTTGGTCACCAAGTTACTGACAATGGAGTAGTTGTTGTCTCTTTTCTTCTTCTCTCAAATGAATTGTACCCACAGATTGTATGCATTAATGGTATTTTTATGGGGATTATGAGATCAGAGGAACACCTTGTAAGATCTCCTTAACTTTTTAGTCTTTGTATGTTAATCCATTGTAACTGACCTACGTTGGTGTCTTGATAGATGTTGCACTATTATTGTAGTTCCATATGTAAGCTCCTTTTTAAAAGATACACTAGTTCCTAGTTACTTCACTGACAAGTAAGTTTGTAGCCTTTGGTCTCATCCCCTCGTAAATCTCTTGTAATTTGTAGGCCATGTCCTAAGCTTGTCAGTTTTTTTGCTCTGAGATAACTAACTAGATTATCATTAGTCATTGTAACAATGCAAGTATTGTTCATATATATATATATATATATATATAAAGCAGGGGCAAACACTTGCAAGGCTCACATTTTGCTACCCTTAGTTTCTTAAACAGAAATCACCATTAGAATTATCAATTTCTTTTGTAAGGGGTAATGAGTCTTTTTACAAACTATTGTTCACACTCATTACAGGATTCCCCTAGTTGATCCATCCTTGTATCCACAAGCTCTCAAGTAGTTATGTCAGCTGTTGGAAACAGTACAACCAGATGCCTTTGCTATGTCTCTGAAGAAGCTTCCTCTTGGTTCTGGTTTTATTAGAAGTGCTGTTGGATACTGTGTCATTAGATTGGTCTTGTCTTTTTGTGTATACTTTCCTTTTCTGTGTCTTCTTAGATATGTTCTTATTTAGATCAAAACAGTTCATTGGTGGCTTCATAGTGGCCTGCTAAACCCTACATGCACAGGTGGGGTTCAAAGTGTGCATGCACCAACCTTGTACAGAGTGCCAATCAACATGTTTTTTACT